TGACTGGGAAATTTGAAAGTACCGTGCAGGAATAAGGATGGTGACCCAATCTGATTGCTTCTTTCATTTTTTTTCTGAAGCAATTACTAAGATTTCTGTAGTAGAATTGAAGGTCAGATTGAAGGTCAGGGAAGTAACACCTGTAACTATGTTCATTATAGCTTTTATCAGCTTTGGGTTTCTTTCTTGGAGATAAGAATCTTGATTGTGTATGTTTAGTATTCCACAATTAGAACAGATTACCAGTTTATTATAACAGGATAAAAGGAATAGTTAGATGGAAGAGATGTGTCAAGTCCCCCTACTCTCTAGGAGCACAACACTGTCTCAGCCCATTCCTGAAGCCACTCATAAATGTTTTTAAAGCTGCAATTCTTTGTTAGCTGATATTGCACAATGAGTCTTCAACATTAAAACCCAAGTTACACCACACTATGTGAACTATGCCCCCCCCCCGCAAAGATTTTATCCTGTGGGGATTATCACAGATTTTAAATATAATCTCAACTACGTGAATTTTACCAAATAAAAGGATTGTTTTATAATGTTTTGAAAAGTTTTGGGATCCCTGGGTGGTGCAGTGGTTTGGCGCCTGCCTTTGGCCCAGGGCGCGATCCTGGAGACCGGGGATCGAATCCCACATCGGGCTCCCGGTGCATGGAGCCTGCTTATCCGTCTGCCTGTGTCTCTGCCTCTCTCTCTCTCTCCCTCTCTCTCTCTCTGTGACTATCATAAATTAAAAAAAAAAAAAAGAAAAGTTTTGCAATCATCAGGGTAAAAAGATATTCAGGGAAGAATAATCAATGGATATTACACGTACTAGGTAACAGTCTGATGAGGAACAGGATATTTACATGATTTCAATATATCTGCCCATGGATTACCTATTAATTAGAAAGAGAAAAATGATCCCCTTCACAGTCAAGGAACTTAGCAAATATGACCTTCGTGTACTAAACTGGATATGATGCACTGACAAAGACACATGGTTTTTGTGGTATTCTTGCAAAAAATACATAATCTGAATCTAATCATGAAGAGATATCAGACATTTGAAATGAAGGACACTATAGAGCTGGCTTACTGACTTCAAACGTGTCAGTCACAGAAGACAAGATGCTCCACCTAAAAGAGATTAAGATGAAGACAGGTCAGAGCGATGTGGATAAAAACTGAGGAACACCAAGAACTGCCAGCAAACTATCAGAAGCTGAGAGAAAGGCAAGGAGCAGATTCTCCCTCACAGCCTCAGAAGGATCCAAAGCTGTCTACATCTGGACTTCTGACCTCCCCCAACTATGACACAATGTCTGTTATTTAATATACCTAGTCTGTGGTACTTTGATATAGCAGCCTAGGAAACTAATACAACTAAATATAATTCATGATCTTGGATGGGATCTCGGGTGCAGGAGACAAACGACATTGTTGGACAACTATAATTCACGAAAAGCTTTGTAGATTGTGGTGTGGTATCAACAGTATTGTATTTCCTTCATTTGATAATTGCTGTTCTACTGTTCTTTTTGGCCATGTCTGTGGGTCCTGAGAAGGAGAGGCAATAGGCATAGGTGGGTGACGTTTTAACAGAACCAAGTCCTGTGGCTCTACTATGACCTCCAAGTCACCCCCGCTCTGTCCCCGACAGCGCGGCTGTCTTCCATCTGCTCAAGCCCACCAGTCACTCTTGATGCCTCCCTATTCTCATGGTCTCATCTGACTGGTCACGAATTTCTGCTAGTTCTACATCACAATACATACTGAATCGATGCACTTCACTCCCTCCAAGCCACTCCAGTCCAAGCTTTCATCAGCTTCAAAATTGGTCTCTTTGTTTCCACTATTTTCCTTCTATTGTTCCCTTTCTTGTAACAACCAGAGTGATATTTTTAATTTTTTTAAAGATTTTATTTATTTATTCATGAGACATGCTAAACTGCTGAGCCACCTGAGCTGATATTTTACAGTGCTATTTTAAAATGGAAACTATGCCGAAGGGAGTATTTTCTGCCAGAACCTCAGTCTGAATCTAACAATGTCTCTAGGTAAAACCAACAGCTTACAGCAAACAGAACAGAAACGTGTTAAAGATACCACAGAGATGGCAAAATCCAGATTGTGGGAAATTCAATACAAAAAAATGACCCAATTCTTTTTTTTTTAATTTTTTTTGTTTGTTTTATTTATTTATGATAGGCACACAGTGAGAGAGAGAGAGGCAGAGACATAGGCAGAGGGAGAAGCAGGCTCCATGCACCGGGAGCCTGACATGGGATTCGATCCCGGGTCTCCAGGATCGCGCCCTGGGCCAAAGGCAGGCGCTAAACCGCTGCGCCACCCAGGGATCCCAAAAATGACCCAATTATTTCTTTTTCTTTTTTTCTTTAGAAGTAGCCTCCACAGCCAGCATGAAGACCAACATGGGGCTTGAACTGAGGACCCTGAGGTCAAGACCTGAGCTGAGATCAAGAGTCACACACTTAACTGACCAAGCAACCCAGGTGCCCTGACCTAGCTTTTTCAACAAATAAGTTGAAGAAAAAAATTATAGAGTGGAAACCTATATATATTAAAAGAGGATTAAGATTCTTATCAGCTACAATGGGTAGACTTTGTTTGGACCTTGATTTGAACAAATCAATGACAGACAATTTTTTATGAAATATTTGAATATTGATTCCAATGACAAGAAATGGTTAATATACCCAAGTGTTATAAGGGTATTAGGATTGTGTTAAATTGTTTAAAGATATATACTAAAAGTACTTATGAATATGATATCAGATATGCTTAAAATTAACATGGAGGGGAAGTGGGTGGAGGTACAGTGGATAATCCTTGGACCTGGGTGAAAAGTAGATGGGGTTTTTTGTATTATTCCTTCTACCTTCGTACATGTTTAAACCTTTTGAACATTCCCACAATAAAATGTTTAAAAGTGAAAAAAATAAAAGTTTAAAAATGTAAATCAGATCACATGATCCCATTGAAAATCTATTAAAGACTTCCTATTATAAATTCCTATTAAAACTGAAAGTCTCTGTGTTGGCCCGCAGTGCCACAAGGGGTCTGCACCTGGCCTACCTTTCAGCTCTCATTTGCCATCACGCTTCCTCACCCTCAGGACCTGCACACTGCTTCTCCTCAGTCTTGAGCAGCCTTCCCCAGACCGTCACAGTACTGTTTCTCTTTCCCCCTTTAGGTCCCAGGTCATCCTCCTCTTCCTCAGCAAGGCCGTCCCTGCCCACCCTATCTAAATTAGCATTCTCCAACCCCAGTCACTCTACCCCCTTAGCTTGATTTATTTTCTTCATTGCATTTTCCTAAATGGTAGAATTTCAAAGAGTGTGATTTGTCCACTTGTTTCATGCCCCCGTCTCCCACTAGACTGACTATCAGCTCCATGAGGGCATTATTCCTCAGTGTATTCTCCGTGCCTAAAACCGCGTCTGGGACATTATTAAATATTTATTGAATAGATGAATGTACTCATGAAGACCATCTACACCCCACTTAGCCTGGACACAGAGAACCCAAACCACATCTTACTGCTTCCATTAACGGGACTTTGTGGTCCTCTGCCTTCATTACCACTTTTTTTTTTTTTTTTTGGTTACTCTTCTTGACTGTCCAGCCCAGGCAAATGGCTTGATCATCAACAGCAGTTTGCCCACTGAGATTATCTGAATTCCCTTGCCTTGATGTTTCCACCAATTTTCTACTGTTATACAGGGTTCTTACCAAACCCTGGACTGACAGACACATCTTAGACCAGACTTCCAACTCTTAATAAATTCTGGCCTTATTTTCTCCTGAGACACTGCCAAAGCTTTGCCAAGTAGCGCCTTTCCTTACCTAAGTAAGCAATCACCCCACCTTTGTCTTTCGATGTTGTGTCAGCGGTATCTAAAGAGCGGGCTTTGGACCAGGACAACAGTCCAAACACAGTAGCCAAACTAAATATTTTAAAGCTTGGGGGGCGGGGGAGGGAGGTATTAAAAACACAATCAGTAACAGTGCCTTGCCCGGATATATTGGAATCTGGGGCAAAAGGAAAAATCAGTGAATGCTGATTCACTGTAAGTTCAAGTAAATGATTTGTCTTCATTCACCTTGACCAGTGCTCCGTTAAATTATATCAGAGGTGAATGCCTCACTTATTTTGCCCCATTCCCAGTACTGTTACTAAAAATTGATGCTATAAATAAGAGTATGAAGTGCATAGTTTTCCAAAACAGTGGATTCGTATGCTGTTTAAAGTCACAAGGGTGAAAAAAAAAAGTCATAAGGGTGAGTTAGGGAGAAATTAAAGGAGATGGTGTAGAGTGCTCAGTCTTCGTCACAGTGGTGTGAAGTCAAAAGGTCACTAAAAACGAACAAATCAAGAGCTAGCATGTATTTTGTGTAGCAGTTGTTTTGGAATCAGAATTGTAAAAATGGTTGAAAGTGGCTGCCTCTGAGGATGGGGAGCTTTCGCTTTTCATTACAATTTCTCCGAGGCTAGGTTTCCTAAACGTGGACCTCTGTCACTTCGATGACGATACGGTGACGACTGTGCAAGCAAAAAAGGCGGGATTCCAAGACCTCTCAACGGCCGGCTCGGTCACATTCTGGTCCACACCCACCCCTCGACCGGGGAGGCGGCCCGCATTCCCACGCCCAGCTCCCCGAAGCCATTCCTTCTGGCAACAAGGATGCCATTATCTTAACAAAAGATAAGCGCAGGCCTCATCCCAGTGCGACTTTTGTCCTCCTTCCCGTGTCCAATCTGGGAGGATCTGAGGAAACCCTACGACAACAGTCCGGGGCAACGCCGCGCGGTGCAGAGGCTCGACCTCCCCGTGTCGCGCCCCATCCCCCCCCCACCCCCACCCAATCCCCAGTCAAGGACCTTCAGCCCTCGGGCGGCCTCCGCACGCGAACCCGGACGCGGCGGGCCCGGCGAGTCCCACGGCGCAGGCGCACTCCTCCTCAGCCGCATCGTCCCGCCCCTTCCCTACCTTCTCGCCGACCCGTCAGGGCGTCGCGGCGGCCTCGGGTTCGCGTTTTCCGCCCCGCGCGATCATGTGACGACGGAGGGGCGGGCTCCCAGGAGCGCCTGGCTTTCTCCCCCCGCGCCCGCCACCGCTCCCCAGGGCAGTTTCCCGACGGTCTTCCGCGGTTTCCTCCCCGGCCGGGGGTCGCTGCGGGGCTCCCCTGGACGAGGCCGGGGGACGCCTCAGTCCTGCGCAGGCCGCAGTCACGGCGCGCACGCCGGCGCCGCGGAGAACCAGAAGGGGCGGGGCCTCGCGGGGGGGCGGGGGCGGCCTCGCGGCGTCCGGGGCGACTCTTAGGGCCGGGCGCGCCTCGGAGCTGCGGACACCCGTCGTCGCAGCCGCCGCTGCCGCTTCGGCCTCCGCAGCCGCCTCTGCCTCTCCTCTGCCGCTGTCGCTGCGTGTCGCCACCATGAACCAAGACCTTCGCAGGGAGCGGGAAGCCGCCAGCTTCAACCCGGAGCTGCTCACGCACGTCCTGGACGGCAGCCCCGAGAACACCCGGCGCCGCCGAGAGATCGGTGAGGGCGGCGGGCCGGGCCTCCCTCCTTCCCCGAGCGCTGCTCGGGGACTCGCTGGAGGAGGAATCCGGGGTGTGTGGGGGGCGCTGTGGGGCGCAGGCCGCCCCCACTCCCAGGGCCGGCCTCTGGCGGGGCGCGGGGTGGCGTCCGTCCCGAGGCCCGCGCTCCAGAAACCCGCTGGGCTTCGGGAAGGTGTCACGGAGCCCTGAAGTCCTGTCTTCCACTTGATGCCCTCTCGCTCCCTTCCAGAGAACCTGATTCTGAATGACCCAGACTTCCAGCACGAGGACTTGAATTTCCTCACTCGCAGCCAGCGCTACGAGGTGGCCGTCAGGAAGAGTGCCAACATGGTGAAGAAAATGAGGGACTTTGGCATCGCAGACCCTGAGGAAATCATGTGGTTTAAAAAGTACGTATGCCTTCGCCGAGGTCAAGCGCCCACGTCCAAACTTTTTAATTTTAAAGATTAAAATTTTTAAATTTTAATGTAAAACGCAGCCCGTGGTGTCCCTTTTTCATCGTGCTCGGCGTTGGAAGACTCGGGCTGCTTATTTGCATCCCACTTTCAAGGTGTGTGTGCGTGCGTGTGTGTGTGTGTGTGTGTGTGTAAAACTGTGTTTGCTTATGTCTTTAAGTCCTTTAAAGGGATGACGTTTGGAGAATGCTGATGATGAAGGGAGAGGTTGCCGTTGTCCTCGCTAATCAGTACCGATTTCATTGGCCCAGGTGTCTCAATGTAGGGTGATTCTAAATTGCAAAATGACTTTGCTCTTTGTCACATGGTGGTTTGCTAAATTTAGGGGCGGAATTCGATTTTTAGCTGGAAGACCAGTATTTTGGAGCAATAAACAGGTTGTGTTTCCTTATGAAAGTGTGGCTCTTGAGTTGAAACGGATGGGCACTGTGGGGTAGATGAAGAATGTGAGCGAAACTTTAGAATGAAGTATTTGTAAGAACCCAGCATTCTCGAATCCAGTGGCAGCGTTCAATGGTTCTTGGGCATATGAGACCTGCTAAAAACATGCCTTGGTCCTAATGCTGAAAAGAGTATGTACTTTTTCCAGATCATCTGTTTTTTGTCTCTTAATTAGGAAAAAAGTAAGTACCGGGTTGTTTGTTTGTTTGTTTTGTTTCAGTTTTTTTTTTTTTTTTTTTGGCCTTTATCTGAATGAACACTAATGTGATCGGAGTACAAGATTTCTTTGGTCTGTAGCCTCTGTTATACTTCTCATTAATTCCTGGACACTTCCTTTTTTTGGGGGGGGGGTTCAACGTTTTAGGTGAATTACAGTATTTTCGTCAATAGAGATTAAATGATACGAATGGTGTGTATTCAAGAGCCAAGAAAAAGGGAACATGTTACAAGTTCTCCTTGTATGTAATGACAAAATTCTCCTTTATTCTACTGCCTGTAGTATGTTTGGTATCTTAATTATTTTCAGTCTGACCCAGTTACTACTGTTGAGGATAAAATATTCTACTCTGGCCCTTAGGACTGCCCTGAGAATTCCTTTCCCTTTTAGTCATAAAATTATATTTTACTTACTTTTGGTAGCCCAAATTAGAGTACTGACTAACTTCCAAATGTTCTTTTTCACTTTTGAAATTTATAACTCATGGCTTGGGGAATATTGAGGTGTAGAGCACCTCCTAGAAGATCGTGTTTCTGAATTATCTGAGTTGCGTTTTAGGTAAACTTCAAAAACCTAAAATTTTGTGTTTTTTTGTGTTTTGTTTTTTTTTTTGTTTTTAAGACAATCCAAAAGAAGGGTTTGTTTTGTTTTGCTTTTAAGTGGATGATGCAGTGTGTTCTAGAATTAGAGTTCATCATCAATGGTGATTCAAAAGAATGTAACCAGAGTTGAGTGAAATCACAATGAAATAGAGCAGATTCCTTTCTGTGGTTGAAGAGGAGAGGACATGAGCTATTAGTCTTTATCATTTTTTATGGTACAGACCTTGCTGTTTGGGAGATATAGAGTACAGAGTTTTAACATACCTTTTGACATCCTTCCAGTGTCTCTAGGATAGGACAGGGAGATCAACTTACATGAGAGAAAATTGATCGAGACTAATTGATATGAGACTAATGATTGAAAATTAGTCTTGGTAATTACTGAATGCCGTTGAATCCAAGCCCACCATCAATTATAACTCACACCCGAGTTTCATGTACCACTAATAAAGAAAAAGTGCTGCCAGTTAACTATGACATCCCGTTACTTGTGAAATGCACCTGACTTCTTAAAGCTAAGATGGGGGAGGGGATGTTACCAGAACTGGTGAAATATAGTAATATTTCTCTTTTGGGAGATTTTGAGCATTTACTGGGTTTATTTACAATTATTTATCTTCTCTCAAAATTCATCTATGGGAATATATTGAAGTTGATGGAATATTAGTGAAATACTTTGAGATTTCTCAACTTGAGCAGTACAAGAACTGTTCTCTCTCCAGTCCTTGGCAAAAAAACCTTGCTGTTCAGGGAATGTAAAAGTTGATTTTCTAATCTCCTGTCCTGTGATTTTTTGTCTTTTAACTATATTGTTTACTATGAAAAGCAAATTGTAAAATGTTCTTAAGAGTAATTAAAACTTCTAGTGAGGATCAGTCATGGTTTTTGTTACCCTCCTTAGGTTTTTAAAGCTGATTCCTTGAAAAGGTCTTCAGAAGGGATTAAACATAATTTAAAAACAAGCACTGAGATTTTGTTCATGAAGTAGATTTTCAGGCGTTCTCAAAAGAATCTCAGTGTGTTTATTAACATAAACATTTGACAGTCTTTGTTTTGTGTCATGAATTTTTTTCTCTCTGAGTTTCCTAGAATTACATTGTGTCAATATCATCATTTCACATAACTGTACAGCCCCCTCACTTCCCTTCTGGTGAACAGAAGTGTCTTTTGTTGCCACCATTTTTGGCACCTAAACTAGTACTTCACTTCCTCACAAACTCTTGTTAAGTTCCTTTCCTCTTTTAGGAAAATATGATTGTTAGGGAATGCTGCGGTGCTCTTGCCTTTGAGAGAATGATGTCTACATTTATCTATCTCATCAAGCTTTTGCCTCCCACTTTGGTGAGGCGGAACGTTACTTCTCTACTGTCCAGCAGCAGTAAACTCCTGGTAATCCAAGTTACTTGGAAGCTAACTTACTTCTTGTGTTCATACCCCTCTTTTTTCCTGTTGCTCTCCCAGGAGAAAGTGACATTAGATATTGGTGTAAAATTACGGAACCTTCAGGTTAAAAGGCATTTTTGATGTTCCGAGCTTGGATGCAGGCATTCCTTAGATGTTTCAGTCTGTCCCCAGCACCCCTGAAAAGTGATCTTCCAACCTAAGGGTGGTAGGATTGTTCTTAGGGCCTCCTCAACAATGAATTGGCAGCCTTCTCCCTCTTTCTTTTAATTCGTACTGTGCTCATTGGCCAGACCAAGACAGACTGGTGACACTACATCCTATTCATTCCTGGAGGAGTCGTGAAGATTACTAGGTGGTACTTGCTTTGTGTTTTTAAGCTCTTTATATAGATAGGTAGAACAAAATAGGTCCCCGTTAAGGTTTTGAACAGTGTAGCTAAAGCTGACAATTATATGTGATTTGTATCTTGACTATTTTGCAGATTGATTTATGAGAAAATAATAAAGACAATTTCATTATGATTGGAGTTCCCTTAATCTGGAGTGAATTTCAAAGGTCATCAGAGATAAATGTTTAATATTCTCACATTTCCGCTTACCCATCTGTAAACTCTGAAGACCTTTAGAGGTCTGTAGTTTGGTCCTGGAATATATATTTACAATCCTGGGTGTCTGCTTTAGTTATATAGGGAAAGATTACAAAAGCTTTGTTAAGAGCTCTACAAATAAATGTTCTATGGAGTTCCTTTTGATTTTTAAAACAAGTAAAACTTGAAAATAAAGCAAACACTCCAAAGAATCCAACCAACAGATGACACCAACAAAAACAAAAAAAAAAAAGAGAGATTTTTAGGCTAAAACTTAGAATTTGCTTCCTGAATGAAGTGTAGAATTAGAGGAATTTTGGCCCTGAAATGACTTGGGCAGGGAGGGCATAGATAGATACCACTGGATTTGGCCTTTTAGGTGGGAAAATGATATATTTTACATTTAGTTTCTTGAGAGAAGGGTTGAAATTGTCCCAGCCTCAATCCTGAGGGCCATGGTTGTCTGGCAAGAATGGATACTAGAATGCAGTTTCTAGAGTAAGGCTGAGATCCTTTTCTTTTCTCTCCTGTAGAGTTCATTTGGTCAATTTTGTGGAACCTGTGAGCCTCAATTACTCCATGTTTATTCCTACCTTGCTGAATCAGGGCACCACTGCTCAGCAAGAGAAATGGCTGCTTTCATCCAAAGGACTCCAGATAATTGGCACCTACGCCCAGACGGAAATGGGCCACGGTTAGTCCACATTTGAGGGTCAGTGGGTAACCCACCTTAGGATTTAAATTGATAAATGACTCTTGGTGTTTGGTTTTTCCTGCTGCTACATGTTGGGGATTTTGTTTTTCAGTTGTTAAACCTTAAATAAAATTCAGCTTCTCATTTTCCCATAGG